ATAGAACGCAGATGCTGGGAATCAAGACAACTACTATGGCAGACGACTTCGGACTCGGTGCGTTCTACATAGTCTCCCTGTAACACAAGACCAAGTTGCGACAACGAGGTCAACCCACTTCTAGCAGACGACGTCGGACTAGGTGCGTTCTACATGGTCTCCCTGAAAACAAGACCAAGTTGCTACAACGAGGTCAACCCACTTAAAAGTTTATTTTGCCTTTGCTGTACATATACGTTAAATAGGATTGTACTCCTGATTTCAGGTGTACTATGCAATATTGTATCAAGTTTCTGATCTTTTAACTTTTGACTCTAATGAAACTTTCGTGGTAGTAGTAGCTTTCATCGTGCTAACTTGAATGATATGCTGTTACTACCCTGATCGTGGTTCCTCATCAGCCATTTAATTTATTGTACACCGATATCCAACTCGTTTATGATTTTATCTTTTTGACGTTCCAAAATTTTGATCACATTTAAGGTTGACTCTAGGTTTAATCAATATCCTCGAGGCTATCAGACCAATGAAATATATTGTTTCAGTTGTTAAGACGCACTTATTTGCTTTATACACGGGCATGACATCGAATAAAGGAGGTTGATGCAAATATCTGCCGTTGTACGCCTATTTTTCTACCTCTGATGGCAGCGCTGAATAGACTCAGATGCCTTAGAGATTTCTTTTTATTCTAAATTGTAGCATATTTTTAGGATGGCATGCCAAATGTAAATTCTACGATAAGATCAGCTTTCTATGCCCAATTTACTGCCTTTACTCCTTGGCCTAAATTTCTTACATTTTACACTCAACTCTTGTCTGGACGATTAATTTTTCTTATCAACATATTCGCTTTCGTTAATTCTCAAGCCATGAATACGCATGCACTTATTTTTTATATATATTTTCTTCTTGCTCTTGCTTATGAATATAATATTTTCTTGTTTTAATCTCATGAATTTAACTTTATTACTTTTTTTTCGCATAAAATGGCTATTCATAAATATTATTTGGTGGTGTTTAGACTTTAGGAAATATTTATTAAAAGCATATGGCCCTGTAGGCTTCACCTTACGTTCTTTTCGGTCCACATTGTTTGGCCTACATTTATCAAATTGTGACCCATTTAACAATGAATCTAATAGTCGTCTGCCATAGTAGTTGTCATGATTCTGAGCATCGGACAGTGGACTAAGTAGATTCTCAAACGTTTAGCCGAAATCGTAGTCAGCATAATCAGTGAGTTTTGCCATTCGCTGCACCAAGCTACTAACTCTTCAAAGATACAAGTGAAGTTAATCCCTCGACAAACATTTATTTTTTCGAAGATATGAAGACCAAGATGGTGTAGCCTTTTGTGTGGTCGCAGTCTCCTTTCGTTGTTCAGAAGTTGTTTGACCTTGTTTTCGCAACGTGGTCATATTGGTAGGAAGACTTGGAGGTACGCACCTAGTTCGGAGTCCATTGTATGCATAATCGGGCCTCTAATCCGGATCCCCTCATTATGTACTAGAAATTCACTTGAGATGCCGCATGCGACCAGATATAGGCGTCCACAGTTTGTTCAGATAAAGTGGGTTTAATCAAGGAGAGGACCCGGGGAAGAGAAGACCTGATATCTGAAAGCATGGCAATCAGAGCTTATGCGCTCTGCTCAGGGAAGCGGCAGTGTACGTGCTTCTAGGCCCTTGAGAAATAGCGCCTGGAGTGAAATGCACACTGGGACTGGAACCGAGTGAAATCGAACAACCAGAAAGATAAGGAAAGGATCTATGAGTCAATGAAGGGATCCGTATTGGAGGCCTGAGTCGGATAAGCCGATCCAAGGAGAGGGGTCTGGGTAAATAGCAAGGGTGATGGGGCTACACTAGATTTGCCACAAAAGGGCACACATTTTGACGAGTGGAATGTAAACAAGTGAGAAGTTCTGATAGGGCGGCAGTTGGATAAGAGGGTAAAGAGTAGATAGATAGGACAGGACAGAAAGAGGAGTGATAGTGTAACCGTTTTCGGAAGAACCTTTGTCGAGGGATTGACTTAACTTGTCTCTTCGACGAGTTCGTAGCTTGGTGCGGCGAAAGGCAAAACTCACTGATGATTCCGACTACGATGCCGGCGAAACGTTTGAGAATGTACCAAGTCCACTGTTAGATGCTGGGAATCAGGACAACTACTATGACAGACGACTTCGGACTACATGCGTTTTACTAAGTCGCCCTGACAACAAGACCAAGTTGCGACAACGAGGTCAACCCACTCCTACATATTTATATTGACATTAAAGTTGCAAATATTGAGCTCTGACTGCATTTTGTTTTCATTTTTGCTGGAATTCATCATCCAGTCTTATAATTACGTTACACTCTGTGGTACTACTTACCTACTGATTAAATTCTTTCTGTTTTACATCTATGCTTAACATTAATAAATTTTATTACTTTTCTTTATAAGAGCTGTATTCACTATATTTTATTTAGGGTAATGAGGGACTGCTAGTTGAATTTTTCCATAATGCTATGAGTAGGCCTCATTTTTCCAACGAATTTAGACTGCAATTTTTTCGTAAAAAAGAGTATTAGAAGTTCCTGCAGAACATTTTTCGCTTCTTTTTTACCTCACTTTTTTCTCATAAGTCCCTGGCTCTGGCTGAGAATGAACCACTCTATCATCTGCGCTCTTTCCTAGGGAATTGTCACGAGCAGCTAATGGTCTGTCTTGGTCACCTCTTCGACTGCCTCTCTCCTCGACTTTACGCCCTTCCAATCGTTGAACAATTTCGCATTCTCCAGTTGTCCTGTGCCGGGATTGAGTATCTGCCTGACTTGCGGCTCAATCATCTATTGCGTATCTTTTTACGACTATAATTTCTTAACCTTCAATAGATGCCTTTAAATGTCTCATTCCATCGTCACAATTTGTTATTATTGTATCTATTCATACATCGGGGCTTGTTGTGCTGTATTTGGAAGCTAGGGACATTTCCTCTTCGTTCATTCTGCCTATGGGTTCTTGAATTATGTTATTTAAACAGTTCCATAAATTTTACCGTAAAATAGAAAACTACCAAACGTCATAAAAATGATGACCAATCGGGCCTTTATTAATCGTACCTGTTAGAGGGACATAGCTATTAAAATGCTTCTACTGGTTTTATTCAAATTGTCTTAACTTTTACTTTGTGGTACAAACCTAATTTTATAAGTATGCTAAGG